GGTGTTATCATCTCTAAGTGGACGACATCTGAGATGAAGATATTTGTAGCCATGGGGGCTGGGATTTTTAAAAGTAGCTGATGGGAATTAGACACCCAACTTCCATTGAGTTTCAATAGGATTTGGGTACCTAACGCCCCAGGAAATGTTGGTCTTGCCCCTCCAGGAGGCTGTGAGGGCTTCCTCCTTTCTTAACACTAACCCAGACACCTGCCCCAACCAGGCCTTGTTCTCTCACGGGCTGCGGGGGATTATTCTACCCCAGAATCATAGCCCTTCATCGTTAAGGCACAGACACTGCTAATCGCTTCAGAGGGGTTTGTTTGCTCCCAGTTGGATAAGCATGTAGAAAGCCTCAGGGGAAAGCAGAGGCCACATCCGCTAGATTCCCTGCTTACTGAGATCGGAGATCCACACTTCTGTCTCAGGACCAAGTCGTCTTACCTGGCAGGGATCCCGCCGCTAACTCCACTGCACCTCTCTGGTCCATACTCCTCTGCTTAGCCCGAGTGCAGGGAGGATTTTACTGGGTTGCAGCAAGGGCCCAGGGTAGAAGCGCCAGCCGGTTTCCATTTGTGGCATCTTCTGCTGTTTGAACTTCAGCAGGTACCTTACCTGGAGTCTGCCACCGCAACCGCTGCATACACAACTCCCTGGGAGCAGCCGCTGGAAAGACTGTGCCAGCTTCATCTGGCTTTGACTCCTGGAACCAAAGAAGCCATTTGGTACAGCAGCCACGGCCCTGTCTGCGGCAGGAACCTGAGATGAGCACATCTTAAAGGCTCTATGGCAGGGGTGGGCAAACTTTTTGGTCTGAGGGCCACATTGGGGTGCCCAAACTGTATGGAGGGCCGGGTAGGGAAGGCTGTGCCTCCTCAAACAGCCCCCGCCCCCCCCTATCCGCCCCCTCACTGCCCCCCTCAGAACCTCCGACCCATCCAACCCCCCCTGCTCCTTGTCCCCTGACTGCCCCCCCGCCAGGACCCCACCCTGCTCCCTACGCACACCCCAGCCCCCTAACAGGCCCCCCAGGACTCCCATGCCTATCCAACCACCCCCTGCTCCCTGTCCCCTGACTGCCCCCTGGGACCCCCTGCCCCTTATCCAACCCCCCCCCCCCACCGCTCCCTGCCCCCTTACCATGCTGCTCAGAGCAGCAGGACTGGCAGTCCCGCCGCCCAGAGCGCTGGTGGCACGACGAGCTGAGACTGCAGGGGAGGAGGGATAGTAGGGGAGGGGCTGGGGGCTACCTTCCCTGGCCAGGAGCTCAAGGGCCGGGCAGGATGGTCCTGTGGGCTGGACGCAGCCCACGGGCCGTAGTTTGCCCACCTCTGCTCTATGGCAATTCAAAACTCCGCTCCCATCCAGTCTCAGTGTTGGAGAACAGTCCAAAGGGTATTAGGCACCCAAAACCAAAGTTGGGTGCCTAACTCCCAGCCATTGAGATGACAGCGCTTGTAATAGGAAGCGGAAAGGAGAGGCAAGCGTGGTGCTTTCCCTTCAGTAGCTTTACTTTTACGGAAGTGTGAAACCACAGACAGAAAAGAGACGAGGGGAAGAAAAGGAAAAGAAGAAACCTGGAAATCCTATTTCCTTTCTCTCTCCGGGCTCCGTTACCATCTGCTCTCTGGCACATTCCTTTAGTCCCTTTCTTCTGACTCAATCTCTCTCCGCAGCTCCGCTCCCCTTTTCAGGACGTGCCGTTTTACTGAGGCAATCAAACCATTTGGTCTCTTCTTGCTGGGGCTGCCCCCCCTCACCTCTTCACTGTTTAACGCTGAGTGGTTTGGTCTGTCTCTCACCCTGAACATCTGCGTACATGTCTGCTGGGCTACTTTCTGTAGGGCTATTCCAGTCATTTAGTGGCCCCTCCGTATTTTAGCAGCCATGTTTCCCAAATGCTTTTCCAATCGCAAGGGTGGCCTGCCTCTGTGTGTACATGTGTTGTGTTCTTGAGCATCTGCTTGCAGAGGTGTCCCACCCTGGCAGGGCGCCATGTACAACGGTGAGGTTCTGAACCTACATAAGTGACCTCATCATTTCCCATTTGGGCCAAGAAGCTGCAAACAAAACAAAACAAAACAAATCCCCAAACCCTGTTTTTTCTGCATCCGTTCCACAAATGGCCGTTCTCCTGCTACCTTCCAGCTCTGGCGTGTCTGCCTGCCACTTGAACAGCTATATGGTGTGGCTAGCTGGCAACATGAGATGACTGGCACCTTAACGATATCGGCCGTATGAGAGAATAGGAGCAGGACGCATGCTGCAGCGGTAGCAGGAGGGGCAGAAGGATTTTTTGGAGCAACAGGGTGGTGTCAGAAGGAGATGGCTGCAATCAGGAGCAACTAAAATGCTCAGGAGATATAACGCACTCTTGCAGGGTTTAGGAACATCAACTGAAGCCAGCTTCCCCAGCCATACAGCTCCTACCTTGCACCAGAGTGGGGCCCACTTTGCAGAGGCATAGAAGCCCTGGGTAGCATCTGCCTTCTTACGCTCCCCCCCCAAGCTCCATGCCTTCTGCTGCTACCTATCCTTCTCCCTGCAGGTGACACAAGGGATAGATCTACCATGACCCCTTGAATTCCAAAGGGAGTTTGATCAGGCCCCAAATGATTGTGTAATTGATTAACTGTAGGAAGCAGCAAAGCCAGCAGAGCTTAGCCACAGGCTATTGGGGACAATTGTACCACATAGAAAAGGGCAGAGGGTGGGCGGCTTAGCCAGCAGCTGACAGGGGAAGAGAAAGATTTGGATCTGCCTATTGGCAGAGACAGGAACCAGTGGGAAATTCCTGACCCGGATCAGAACTTCCTCAGTGTTTGGGTGTGTTCAGCCCTGGGGTTACATTTCTGGCCCATCTCTAGTTAGAAATGGGCATTTCAAAATAACCCAAGTGGATGCATGCCAGATCTGGGGCTGAGAGGGTTAACAAGCTGTTAATTCGAGCTGGTTAACATTTGCCCCCAAATAAATTGGTTTTGGACAAAAACTTTTAACTCAAAAGCTTTGAATTGCAATGAGAAAAAACAGGACTTTCCCCCACAAGTTTCATCTCATTTTCTCATCGAAATTTCAACAAGATTCATCGACAAACCGACTATTGGAAAGTTTTGATGGCAGAGTGTAACAGCCTGGCTTTGAGCTAGTGACAGTGCCCCCTAGTGGTGCCAAACTGCATAAGGGACATAGCACCACTGCCCTCTAAAGGAGATCTAGAGCAGCTGGGAGGGGAAGGTCCCTAATTTTCTCCTGTTGCAGCAGTCAGTTGTCCTTCTGCCTGCAGCATTGCCCCAGTTGCTTCCTTCTGTTCCAGGCTTGCCAAGGCCCTTGCGGTCTCTGAGCTGATCATATTGCTTGCTGAACGCCTGCTTCTACATAGAATCATAGAATATCAGGGTTGGAAGGGACCCCAGAAGGTCATCTAGTCCAACCCCCTGCTCGAAGCAGGACCAATTCCCAGTTAAATCATCCCAGCCATGGCCCAGCCCTGCATTGGCCTACATAGTTTGCAGCAAATACTCATCTATCTTGGACATTTCCACCAGGGCTTGCCTTGCTCGGCTTGCTTGCTTTCTGATCCCTATTCTACCACCCAGGGAGTGGTGCAAGAGGGCCACCCGGGCTTGAGAAGTTAAACTCTGGGCTATGGAGCCCGGGCACAGACTCATCCCGCAGCACGACCAATCAGTAAGTGCCACTGTGGCCCTGCATCACTGAGGTGCTCGGGCCCATTTACACAGCGACTGTGAGCGGCTTTCAGACCCAGACAATGAAGCCGCTTGCTCAGCATTGATCTTCTGGAGAGCGAAACAGCAGCAATTTTGGAACCGGGCCATGGAGTTTAATATAATTATGAAGCCGGTGGTGCAGCTTTCAGCCAACCTGGCTTGCAAATGGCTTGATCTCATCTGAGTGGGAAATATATAGTTCTCTAAATGTCTCGGAGAAAGGTTTTAATCTTTAACTGATGCTTGGCCATCAGCCACAAAACCACTGATCACTCAGTAAGTTGCACTGCTTTCTTTCCAGTGTTATGGAAGGCCTTTCCCAGAGATAGATTCCCAGCGGCTCAAACCCTCTAGTTCTGTTTCCTATCATCGCATTTCACCATCATTCACAAAAATCAGCCCTGGCCTGTGTACATTCTCTCCACAGTCATTCCCAACATGCGTTTCTTGTGAGCTTAAATTAATGTCCCACAAGCTAATTACGACAGTGACCTGGAACTAGGCAGTGCAGTCAGGGCCACTATGTACACTGCCATTCCATGCCATTTGCTGCTCAATCCCCATCCTGTGCTGGAGAACCTAAGCTGTCATTTAAAACTATTAGGGGCTAGATCCTCACCTCGTGCAAATCAGTGCAACTCCTTTGACTCAAGTGGAGCTACAGCAGTTAATGTTAGCCGAGGATCTGATTCTATATTTCTAGGCCTTACGATGGAAAACAAAACAAAACAAAACACACCATTGAAAATATGAACCTAATATAAAACCAATATAGTGCCGTCTTCCTGAATCTGCAGGCAGCCTGACACAACAGCTCAGCGAGGTGCGAATGATTCCATTCCTTGCAAGAGGTTGTTAACTCTGAAACCTAAAGATGGCATTTAAAATGTCAACATTGCTAACTATTTCCCTGCTAATCATCTTTACAGAAAGAGAGCGTGCTTCTTCTACAATCTCATGCTGCCAAGTAGGGAAATCCATATTAAAAACACACACATAAAACCAGGAATCATTTAAATGAAGCTGCCATGGAATTCCCAGTCTGTTGCACTGAGAGCACTGTGGAACCCAGGTGTCCAGAGGCAGACTCCAATGACCCTGTCACAGAGTCCAGGGACCTGGACACAGAGCCTAGGGGACTGTACTGTAGGATACAGGCCTAGGGTGCTGCAGGATTATACAGAGTCTTGGCTGCAGTTTATAGGTGCTGATCACCAAATGGGATTCAGTGAGCTCACACAAAGGAAAGGCAGTGACACATACAAGAGCCAAATTTCAGCTCCCAGATCTCTTTATTAGAACTCTAGTACTGCTTGACAGGAAGAGGCATGTGTACAGCATATAAGGTAATGGGATTAGTATTGCCTTGGTCACGGAGATATGTAACAGCATTAGAAAGAAGCTGGCCATATCAGGCCAGCCGGTCCACCTGGTCTCTGCTATTGCACTCAGTCATTGGCTGCTCGAGTATTGCAACTTGGACTTCTTGGAGGCTTCTTCCCCCCACCCCCATGCACCTCCGGAGCCATCGTCCAATGGGTCCCAAACCAATCCCAGGAGCTGCCTCTTCTAGAGAAGGAATCTGTACATTGGAGAAGGCCGGAGCAAACGTCACAGAGTCTAAAAATAATAGTCCACAGCTACCGCTCGGCGGATGGACACGGTGAGAGCACAGATGGTGCCTGCGACAGGGCGCCCGTGATGAGCTGCTGACGCCCCGCGATGGTCGTCTGCGGCGAGATCTGGGCGCCGTCTAAGTTACTACAGCAATCACGCCAGCCAACGGGTCAGTCAACAAGTGGAGGGGAGCGAGAGGGTGCATCGGAACGGACAGCACGGGAGTCGTGAATGGCATCGTCAGTGGGGGCAGGGCGGGGACCATGGTATACGTCAGACAGATGGTCGTACAACACATGCACAACAAGCAAGGTTACAGCGCGGCGGGGGAATCCGGTCTCGTCCCCCTCTTCCCTCGCCTGCCCGTCCTGGGTACATTTAGACCCGGCAAATGGTCTGAGCAAATCCCAGCTTCCAAGGGAGTCACAGGGGATTCGACAGTCCTGCAAAAACAAGGATTTTCAGAGTCTTTCACAGCAAAAAGAGCTTTGCCCATGCGGCTGAGAGCAGGCCAACGCGGCCCCACTAACGCGTCTGCTGTTCTCTCGGCCTGCCAGCGCCTGACCAAAGTTTTAAGAGACGGTGATGACCTCGGCTTGGGGATAATTAGAAGAGGGGACACCTTTGCAGCTCTCTGCATTTAAAGGACGCAGGCATTAAACACACCATGGTACGCACTCTCCTCTCAGCACTTCCTGCTCGGGGATTTAAATAAATAGATAAACAGAGACAGAATGAGATTCACGTGCCCTGTGGGTCCAGAAACCAGGATGCTTTGAAAGGATGATTCATTCAGCTTTCTAAAGCCTGGGTAACACTGAAGCCGCCCAGACAGACCATATGGTAGTTGGGGTGAGTCAGAGAGAGAAGGCTCAGGCTAAATGAAGGGCTGACATCACCCGGGATGGGCACCCCTGGGGCTGGGTACAGTACAATCACTCTGCAGTTATTTGGAGTCCCAGCCCATAGCTGAGCATCCCTGGGCACCGGACGATCCTCACCCTGGCTGGGACTCAGTGGTTCTTAACCTTTTCCACCCAGTGACCCCATATTATTACAGGGCCTCACTCCCAACTGGCCATGAAGAAAGAGGGAGGTAGCTGATTGCAGTGTGGGATCGCAAACAGCTGAGTACCACCACCCCTCGCGGGGCTCCCTGAGGTCCCGCCACGTGAGGTCCCTTACCTTGGCTAAGAATGCCAGGAGCCAGATAGGGTACCACTCCAGCCACGAGCCTGCACGCACCCCAGGATTGCACATCCCCCCCAGGGCTATGTTTCTACTGACAATTCCCTGCATCATCCCACTGCCTGGGTTCAGATCCCAGCTGCCCCTGCGTTCACTTGAGGCTGAGCGGAGCTGGTAAATAGCTGGCAATCCCCTGGGGCCCTTACCTAGCTAGTTAGGTGTAGGGACCCCCATGTGAGGTGTGAGAAAAGAACTTGCATTTCCTGATTATAATCAATAGCAACAAGGGAACAGATTCTGCAGGAGACCAAAGCTGTGAAGGCCCCTAGTTATATGATCCCAGCTAATAAACTGACCAAAGTGACTACTGGCATCATGGGTGTACGATTCTTTTAGAAAAAGAGCCTTCACCATAACATAAAGCTCGTCTATTTCCTTAACCGGATGTTTAAGAAACATCGTCCTGCCTATGTCATCAATACAGCACACTCTGAAATCACTCAACACCCCTCATTGCCACAGAATACACCTGACACGCCATGCATAGTTGGGACCGGCTGCCTAGGGACAGATTCTGTTCTTACCTAGGCTGGTGTAAGCAAGCTAGAGTAACTCCAGCAAAGTGAGCAGAGTCACATGGACACTGGTGGAAATAAGATCAGAATCCAGCCCTGTGATCACTGAGGCATTCTCTCTCCTCAACAGGGTATTGTTATGGCCACGGGAAAGTTGGGTATGGTGGGATAATCCACAGATGGGCCAGATTCTGAGCTCTTACACCGATGTATATCCAAACTCAGTGGACTTCCAGAGTTACACCAGATCACAATTTGTCCCAAGGAGAATTCAAGGAAGCCCCATCACTTTTCCCACTGCCTGATCTGAACTGCACTGCACAGGATGGTATATTCATGCAGATAGGGAGGGTGCATTCATTGCATTGGTCTCTTTCTACCACCCTGCCTTCTTCAGTACTTAAACACTGAAAGATTGATGCTCCAATTCAGCAGAGCTCAAATGCAGGCTCACTTTTAAGTGTGTAAGTGTCCTATTGGAGTCACTGGGACTACTCACATTCTTGAGGTAAGTGCTATAAACCCAGATCCTGAAAAGTACTTGGGCTCCTAACTTCCATTGATTTCAATGAAGTTAGGAGCTTGAATACCATTGGGGATGTGGGCTTAGGACCCGAACGGGTAGCCTGGACTCCCAGGGGGAAAAAATAAATAAATACGGGGACCGGGAGGCTGGGCTCCCAATAGGGTTGCCAATTTTGGTTGGATGTATTCCTGGAGATTGGATCACATGCCATGATCTTTAATTCTTGGAGACTCCAGGCCAGTCCTGTAGGGCTGGCAACCCCAGCTCTCTAAGAGCAAGTCAGGGGAGTGTTTAATGTATCATGGAGGTGGGATCCAAGTTTTCCAGACGTTCCTGGCATTCTGAGGGCTGTGTGTGTGTGTGTGAGGTGGAATACCGAGAAAGGAGCATGTGCAAACTCCGCTTTCGGGTCTCAGGGACATTTGGATCCAGCTCAAGTACATAATGCAACAATGACTGACCCATGCACCATGGATGTGAACCATGCATTGGAAAGAGCAGGAATGAGATCTATGCATTCAAAACAGCTTCAGAATAGTTACCAAGGAGCTAACCCCTGGCTGGGTACTGGTGACAAACACATGAACGCGACCTCAGAATAGGTCAGTGCGACAAAACGAAAATGGACCATGGATCCTCCCTTAGCGCCAGCTGCTGTGCAGAACAGCAGGTGCAGTGCCACTGAGCAGCCACCTTTCCCAAATTAATCACGGTCCATCCGATTACATTCTTGCTTTCCCCAGGGTGCAGGGTAGGAATGCACAAAGGCTGTCTTCGCCCTGGTTGTCACTGCGGGAGAGGCAGCTGCAGTGGGAAATGACTATGACCCCCCGTTAACTTACATCCTGGGAGGAGAGCAGAGCTGGCCCCACTTGTGTGGGCGAGGAGGCAACATTCAATTATAGAAACGAATGGTATGTCCCTGCCCACAGGCGGCTTTCCGGAGGGGAAGGAAGGCCCAGTAAGCAGGGCACTCCGGATACATGGGATCAGTTCCCTGCTTTGCCACACACTCCCTTAGGCAAATTGCTCAGGCCCAGATTTTTAAAGGTATTTAGGCGCCTAACTCCCCTTAATTTCTGGAGGAGATGGGAGTGAGGGGCCAGTGACAAGGCTGGGATCTGCCCAGGATACAAGTCTCTACTTGCCCCCCCTCCACATCCCCACACCCTGGCCCCTCCAGGGGCCCCACTTTCAGTGGGAATTCAGTAATAGAATTAATGCCAGTCAGCATGGGTTTATGGAAAATAGATCCTGTCCAACTAACTGGTAATCTCATCAAAAAAGATACCAAGTTTAATAAAGGCAATAGTGTTGATGTACTATACTTAGACTTCTGGAAGGCATTTGAGTTGGTACCACACGATATTTTGATTAACAAAAACTACAACAATATAAAATTAACATGGCACATATTAAATGGCCTCAATTGCAAATGGGGAATTATTGAGTAGATGCGTTTCTAGTGGGGATCTAGTCTTGGCCCTATGCTATTTACCGTTTTTATCAGTGATCTCAGAGTGAACAGAAAACCATCCCCCATGGAAGTCTGCAGAGGACACAAAACTTGGCAAAGTGGTAAATAATGAAGATCACAGGTTACGGATACGTAGTGATCTAGAATGCTTGGTAAACTGGGCATAAGCAAACAATCTGTGTTTTAATACGGCTAAATGTAAATGTGTCCATCTAGGAGCAAAGACTGGAGGCCCTACTTTCAGGATGGCAGATTCTATCCTGGTCAGTAGTGACTGAAAAAGATTTGGGGGTCGTGGTCACACCTTCTTGTCAACTGTTTGAAATGGGCCACTCTCATTACCATTACAAACGTGATTTTTCCTCCCTTGGTATCCTACTGTTAATTGAATGGTCTCGTTAGACTGACCTCCCACTTGGTAAGGCAACTCCCATCCTTTCATGTGCTGTGTATTTATACCTGCTACTGCATTTTCCACTCCATGCATCTGATGAAGTGGGTTCTAGCCCACAAAAGCTTGTGCCCAAACAAATTTGTTAGTCTCTAAGGTGCCACAAGGACTCCTCGTCGTTTTTGTGGATCATCAGTGGAACAGGAGCTCCGAGTGCTATGATGTGGCCAAAAGAGCTAATGTAATCCTTGGATGCATTCATAGGGGAATCTGAAGTAGGAGTAAAGAGATTATTTTCCTTCTATATTTGGCATTAGTGCGACCGCTGCTGGAATCTTGTGTCCAGGTCTGGTGCCCACAATTCAAGGAGAATGTTGATAAATTGGAGAGGGGTCAGAGAAGAGCCACAAGAATGAAGAAAGGATTAGACAACCTGCCTTGTAGAGACAGACTCAAAGAGCTCAGTCTATTTAATTCAACAAAGAGAAGGATAAGGGGGGACTTGATTGCAGTCTACATGGGGAACAAATATTGTATAATGGGCTCTTCAGTCTAGCAGAGGAAGGTCTAACAATCCAATGTGTGGAAGTTGAAGCTAGACAAATTCAGACTGGAAATAAGGTGTATATATTTAACAGTGAGAGTAGTTAGCCACTGGAACAATTTACCAAGGGTCGTGGTAGAGTCTCCATCACTGGCAACTTTTAAATCAGGGTTGGGTGTTTTTCTAAAACATCTGCTCTAGGAAATATTTTAAGGAAGTTGTCTGACCTCCTGCGTAACCCAGGACAGACTAGAGGATCACAATGGTCCTGTCTGGCCCTGGAATCTATGAACCAAATATTTTTCAACATCTGGATCCTAATCTTGCTGTTCCCCCATCTCTACAATATAGATTCATAGAAGGTTAGGGTTGGAAGGGACCTCAGGAGGTCATCTAGTCCAACCCCCTGCTTGAAGCAGGACCAATCCCCAATTTTTGCTCCAGATCCCTAAACGGCCCCCTCAAGGATTGAACTCACAACCCTGGGTTTAGCAGGCCAATGCTCAAACCACTGAGCTATCCCTCCCGGATAAAAGCACTTCCTTGGCTGCCTACCGGAGGTGTGGTGAGGATAAATACCTTACAGATTGTGAGGGGCCTAGATGCTATGACACTGCTGGCGATGGATGGTACCTTAGATCGGTAGGTATCCCATGTGATCGTTGCCCGAGTCTGCCCATCAAGGGCTGCTTTCTCTTGAGAACAGCAGTGTGAAGCTAAACCACCATAGAAATTCTAAGCG